GTGTTGCAGGTCTGGGACGATGCCCAGTGGCTGCGAAACTTTCGCATGCGTAAGGGCACTTTCATGGAACTTTGTGACTTGCTTTCCCCTGCCCTGAAGCGCCAGAATACCAGGATGAGAGCAGCCCTCACAGTGGAGAAGCGAGTGGCGATAGCCCTGTGGAAGCTTGCAACGCCAGACAGCTACCGGTCAGTCGGGAATCAATTTGGAGTGGGCAAATCTACTGTGGGGGCTGCTGTGATCCAAGTTGCCAGGGCAATGAGAGACCTGGTGATATCAAGGGTAGTGACTCTGGGAAACGTGCAGACCATAGTGGATGGCTTTGCTGCAATGGGATTCCCAAACTGTGGTGGGGCCATAGACGGAACCCATATCCCTATCTTGGCACCGGCGCACCAAGCCGCCGACTACATAAACCGCAAGGGGTACTTTTCAATGCTGCTGCAAGCCCTGGTGGATCACAAGGGACGTTTCACCGACATCAACGTGGGCTGGCCGGGAAGGGTACATGATGCTCGCGTCTTCAGGCAGTCTCTTCTGTTTCGAAAGCTGGAGGAAGGGACTTTCTTCCCGGACCAGAAAATAACCATTGGGGATGTTGAAATGCCTATCGTGATCCTTGGGGACCCAGCCTACCCCTTAATGCCATGGCTCATGAAGCCGTACACAGGCAGCCTGGACAGTAGTCAGGACCTGTTCAACTACAGGCTGAGCAAGTGCCGAATGGTGGTAGAGTGTGCATTTGGACGTTTAAAAGCGCGCTGGCGCAGCTTACTGACTCGCTCAGACCTTAACGAAAAGAATCTCCCCATTGTTATTGCTACTTGCTGTGCGCTCCACAATATATGTGAAAGTAAGGGGGAGACATTTATGGCGGGGTGGGAGGTTGAGGCAAATCGCCTGGCCGCTGATTACGCGCAGCCAGACACCAGGGCGGTTAGAGGAGCACAGCAGGGCGCGGTGCGCATCAGAGAAGCGTTGAAAACCAGTTTTGTGACTGGCCAGGCTACGGAGTGAAACTTCTGTTTGTTGCTCCTTGATGAACCCTCTGCCCCTCCCCCACCACCCTGTTAACTCTACTTCCCTGCAAACCAACCACCCCACCCTCCCCCACTACCCTCCCCCCTTCGAGCACCACTTGCAGAGGCAATAAAGTCATTGTTGCTTCACATTCATGCATTCTTTATTAATTCAGCACACAACTAGGGGGATAATTGGAAAGGTAGCCCGGGATGGGTGGGGGAGGAGGGAAGGAAAAGGACACACTCCAATTTAAAACTTTAAAACTTATTGCTATGGAAATCATCTAGGGTGGAGTGAGTGGGTGGCCGAAGGCCCCCCCACCGTGTTCTTGGGCGTCTGGGTGAGGAGGCAATGGGACTTGGGGAGGATGGCTGCTGGTTACAGAGGGGCTGTAGCGGCGGTCTCTGCTCCTGCTGCCTTTCCTGCAGCTCAACCATACGCAGGAGCATATCACTTTGATGCTCCAGCAGCCGGAGCATCGACTCTTGCTTTCTGATTACAAGTTGACGCCACCTCTCCTCTTCAGCCCGCGTTTCAGCACGCAACTTCTCCTCTTCAGCACGCCACCTCTCCTCTCGCTCATATTGGGCTTTTTTAAAATCAGTCATTGACTGCCTCCACGCATTCAGCTGTGCTCTGTCAGCGTGGGAGGCAGTCTGAAGTTCAGTAAACATTTCGTCACGCGTCCTTCGCTTCCTTCTTCGAATATTCACTAGCCTCTGCGAAGGAGTAAGATTTGCAGCTGGTGGAGAAGGGAGAGGTTGTTAAAAAAGATACATTTTAGAGAACAATGGGTAGACTCTTTCACGTTAGATTTTGCTGTTCACAACATCACACAGCACATGTGCTTTCGTTACAAGGTCGCATTTTTCCTCTTATATTGAGAGTCTCCTGGTTTGGTGTGAGAGATCACTCACGCAGTGCCAGGACACAGATTTCAGCTTGCAGGCAGCCATGGTAAGACATATAGTCTTTGGGCTTTTTTAACCTTCTTAACATGTGGGGATGGTTTCAAACAGTTCTGCCCTCATTTCCCATACCAAGCACCCGTGCCATTTAAAATGGGTTTGCAATGTAAAAGGAGGGGCTGCGATTTCAGGTTTAACATGCAGCACAAACCCAACTAACTCCCCTCCCCCTCACACCCAATTCTCTGGGATGGTCACTTCAACCCTCCCCCCCACCGCGTGGTTAACAGCGGGGAATATTTCTGTTCAGCAGACCAGGAAGGGGCACCTCTGAATGTCCCCTTAATAAAATTGCCCCATTTTAACCAGGTGACCGTGAATGATATCACTCTCCTGAGGATAACAAAGAGTGATAAGGAATGGATGTTGTCTGCATGCCAGCAAACACCGGGACCATACGCTGCCATGCTTTGTTATGCAATGATTCCAGACTACGTGCTACTGGCCTGGCGTGGTAAAGTGTCCTACCATGGCGGACGGGATAAGGCAGCCCTCCCCAGAAACCTTTTGCAAAGGCTTTGGGATTACATGAAGGAGAGCTTTCTAGAGATGTCCCTGGAGGATTTCCGCTCCATCCCCATACACGTTAACAGACTTTTCCAGTAGCTGTACTGGCCGCGATTGCCAGGGCAAATTAATCATTAATCATTAAACACGCTTGTTTTTAAGCCATGTGTAATATTTACAAAGGTACACTCACCAGAGGTCCCCTGTGTGCCCTCAGGGTCTTGGGTCAGTTCGGGGGTTACTGTTTCCAGGTCCAGGGTGACAAACATATCCTGGCTGTTGGGGTAACTGGTTTCTCCGCTTCCTTGCTGCTGTGAGCTATCTATGTTCTCTCCATCCTCATCTTCCTCGTCCGCCGAACCCGCTTCCCCGTTTGCAGAGAGGGACTCATAGAACACGCTTGGGCTAGTGGTGGCTGCACCCCCTAGAATGGCATGCAGCTCCGCGTAGTAGCGGCATGTTTGCGGCTCTGCCCCGGACCTTCCGTTTGCGTCTCTGACTTTGTGGTAGGCTTGCCTTAGCTCCTTAATTTTCACGCGGCACTGCCGCGCGTCCCTGTTATGGCCTCTGTCCTTCATGGCCTTGGAGATCTTTTCTAATGTTTTGCCGTTTCTTTTACTGTTTCGGAGTTCGGCGAGCACTGCTTCATCTCCCCAGATGGCGATCAGATCCTGTACCTCCCGTTCGGTCCAGGCTGGAGCTCTTCTGCGATCCTGGGACTGGGACTGGGACTCCATCACGGTTACCTGTGCTGATGGGCTCTGCATGGTCACCTGTGCTCTCCACGCTGAGCAAACAGGAAATGAAATTCAAACGTTCGCGGGGCTTTTCCTGTCTACCTGGCCAGTGCATCTGAGATGAGAGTGCTGTCCAGAGCGGTCACAATGAAGCACTGTGGGATAGCTCCCGGAGGCCAGTAATGTCGAATTCCGTCCACACTAGCCCAATTCCGACCCCCTAAGGTCGATTTTATCGCTAATCCCCTTGTCGAGGTGGTGTTAGGAAACCGGTTTAAAGGGCCCTTTAAGTCGACAGAAAGGGCTTCGTAGTGTAAACGTGTCCAGGCTTAAGTCGATTTAACGCTGCTAAAGTCGACCTAAACTCGTAGTGTAGACCAGGCCTTAGGCAGGGGTTGTCTTCTGGCCCGTGGGTGGGTATGTGCCAGGTAGTAATGAAATAATTACCAAAGCCTTTTATTTCACTGGCAGCCCCAACTGAATCCTAAACTTACCAATGCACGTAACCTGCATCTTGGAGAATCCTGGCACAGTTTCACCTTGCTCAAGAACCACATGGAGTACAATGCCTACACACGAATGATAGTTTATCTTTTGTCTGATTCATTTGCTTTGGTACACAACTATACCCTTAGGTTTGCCTGTATAATGGTATTTTCCCATGTAGCCAAGCCAACAGTTACTACTGGTATAGTTAAACCAATATACCAGTATAACTATGACTCTCCATTCTGGAATAAAAGTGCCTTTTTGGTTTATCTTAAATTCCTTCCAAAGCAATGTGAGCCAAACAGGGGAAAAAAGGCTTTGCTATGCTGGAATAAGAGCGTCCCCTCGGGGAGTTATAGCAGTGTAACTATATCGGCTTAAATTCACATCTACCCATAGAAGAAAGTAAAGTTAATTTTACCGCATCCCTGAGCACCGTAGTTAAGCTGACCTAACCCTGGTGTAGACAGCACTAGGAAGTATATTGGACTGTATATTTACCTATACAGTCATGATTGAAGTGCCAGTGATGTGTTCAGAGCTGACCGGGGCCCTAGCCCTAGGAGTTTGCACTGTAAAAGACAGACACACAGATAGGACAAGATGCAATAGGTATTCATTTGGATCTTTATTTTCTTCCCTGTTTTCTCACCCTCTCAAAAGGTTGGGGAAGAGCCAATTTGTGGGATTTGAGTGAGGAGAGAATGGGGACTAGTGCACTGGGATTGAGAGACTTTTCCATACATAGGAAGTAACAGAGGCTCTGAATGCCCAAAGGAAGAATGAACTATGCTGCAGTATCAGTGTTTGTCTCTCTAATTCCTGCTAATTGTAATTGCTTTGGAGGGACTTGACCAGCCATCTCTTTCCTTTCGAAGAAAGATCTGGAGTTTGTGGGAGGGGAGAAGGCGCTCTTTAACACTGCTGCACCTGCACTGGTTTTCATGAGGCAACACAAAGCCAGAAGTGGGTGAGCACAGAGCAGTTTAGAAATCCTTTTTCGCTAATGATTCAGTGTGACTTTCCCAAAGTGACCTGATTTAGTTAAATGCGGCTAAATATAGACCTTGTGAAAAAGACTGTGATGTGGGAGGAGACGATGGCAGCCGGCTTCTAGGCTGTCATTCTGCAGGGAATGTCTTCCACGACTGGTGACTAATAATTTTTGACTCCTGTGGAAATAACATCCTTGCTCCCTTCCTGTCCTGGTGAGATGTAGGAAATGGTACAGTTCATAACCCTTTGCCTATCTGATCTCTACCCTTCTGCATTTCAGCTCACTGCTATGGACAGTACGATCACCTTGTGGCAGTTCCTCCTCCAACTCCTCCAGGAGCCTCAGAACAAACATATCATCTGTTGGACCTCCAACGACGGAGAGTTCAAATTGCTGCAGGCAGAGGAGGTGGCCCGGCTTTGGGGAATCCGCAAGAACAAGCCCAGCATGAACTATGACAAACTCAGCCGTGCTCTCAGATACTACTATGTGAAGGTAACAATTCCCATTAGTCCATCTCACATCTTATCCCCCTTACACCCAGCTTCCGCCTAATGAGCTTTGTTTCCTTTTTCATTCTCTTCAAGAAGATAGATGTCAGTTCTGTCTTTGGCTTAGGTGAGGTGTGACAAAAGGTTCCCCCTGCCACAGCGTTACTGTTCTAATTGTTCAGAGATTCCAGAGAGCTTCCTGTGAAATATCACCTCTTTAACTTACTTGTATCACACACTCCTTTATTAATAGTCCACAAAAACAGGTGTCTACTTCAAAAGGGTTTAAAGTCTTGAATGTTCAAAACTAATTAAAATCTTGCTAATAACTATGAGAATTTTGTGTCCCTCTCTCTACTTCAGATCTTTCTTGCAACTGTTTCTACAAAGTGGCTGGTACAAAAACAGGTTTCCAAAGTAGCCCAAAATCCTTTTATTTTTTTCCTTCTTCTTGTGCTCAGTATAAATCTGCACCTCTACAGTAGAGAATGCGTCAATGAAGCGCAGAGAAACTTCTCTTGTGTAGCGAATGAATTTACTTCTTGTTACCTTTTGAAAGTCGCAGATGCTCTGACACCACCAAGGCATTGACGAAAGGCTTGAAGGAGCTGAATTAGAATTAGAAACGGATAGTGACCATAATTTCAGTAACCTCTCAATAAGTGGTTTATCCCACAACTCTTATTATGTGGGTGTTTAAGATAAGAAAATAACATACAGTTTCTGAGCTAACTGTTAGTCAGTTGCTCAGAATTTATTGTTACCAGGACTGCACAGTTTCCTTAATCTGTTCTTGTGTTAAAAAATCTTAGTTGGTAGTAGGTAGCTGTACAATAAATACGAATCCATTTAGACCAAAACTGTTCGTGTATTCTTTTCAATACATACAAAAATAAGTAGCAACAAATGCTGCATAGGGGGATAGTTTGGCTGCTGTTTAGCATACTGTTCTGCTGAATACTTCATCTTGCCCATATCTTTTGCTTTTATTATAACCTCTTATTCAAATAAGTGTGGTCTGTTCTGAATACTCAGGCCCTGATCTTGCAAACACTTCTGCACGTGAGTAGTTCTGCTGACATCAGTTAAGATGCGTATTTGCAGGATTGGAGCCTAAGTTTGTGATTACCTGCTGTGTACTAGACTCTTTGATTTTGACCTTGATGCTGGTGACAGGTGACGTTATCTGCATCTGTTTGTTGTTGCTAGTTGTGCTTTTTTTTTATTTTGAGACTAAAAAAAAATTGCTGCGTAGCTTTAAGGTCCTTGCTTGTAATCAGGGTGGATAAAAATCAATGATTTAAAAAAAAGTTGTTGTATTTTTTTTTTATTTAAATTGGATTTTTTTAATAAGGTTTTTCCTCAAAAAGCATTTTATCTAAAGATAGTTTTAATTAAGATACGTTATAGCTCAAAGGTATCTCATCATGGAATAGGGATTATAAAATCTAATTCTGTAGTATGAGACAATATATTCATGTAATGTTTAAGAAAAGTTTTGTAAATGAGTTCCAATAGTTCATAGATTAGGGACCCAATTTTATGGGGTTCCAGGGGCTTCTGTATAGATTATTTAGGTTAATCTTTCTATCTACCCAATGGGACTCAGTGCTCAGCCTAGACGATACCACCAGAGATGCTTAATTTTGCAGTTCTCAAACTGTGGATTTGTGTCTCCAGAGGTAACATGCGTGTTAACAGCAAAAATGTTTTTAAATAAATAAATAACGTAAAGAGGTGAGAAATAACAGACCTCAACTCTATTGTCCCTCTGCAAATTTGTGTACACAGAGTCAATCCCTTACCTCTCTCTAAAAGTGCAATGAATAGAAGATTGTTGGGAGCAGAATAGATCTGGACAAGGAGAAGAAGTCTGGAGATAAATGTGAGAAGCGAGGGACATATGCTTGTTTTGTTAAAATATTATATTTGCTGTTGAAGGAAAAAAAATCCAGAATACTTAATGTTGTTTTAGTTAAATAAAACAATTTAAATATCTGTCTGGTGATGTTCTCCTCCTAATACAGCATGGCAAGAAAATCCTCCAAATATTAATGATTGACCTGTTGAATTGGAGATAGTTCACCTCCCAGTGACTTCATAAATATCTGCTTCAGTTACCTTTGGTAAATCAAATAACCAAACAATTGTTCATTTTCTGATATAGCTGTAAAACTAATCTGAAAAGTTTTCAAAATAAATCACTGTTTAAAAATGTATAGTGTGTACCTTCTAAAAATGAAACCTACATCTATCTCTGAGTTGTGAAGAATATGTATTAAGGTTATAACAACCAAAAAAAATGCACTTTTATGTAGAAAACCAGGATTAAATCGAGTCTTCCTGACTAGTGATTTAAATCATGATTTAAATCAAATCCACCCTGCTGGTAATGCATTTCAGGTGAGGTTTGCTTGTTTTTTGGTTGGGGTATTTTAGAAATAATAGTTTTGGTGGGTATTTTTTAAGTTGTTGGAATCCTAATGCTCGTAAAAGTGAAAAAATTTTCCTACTGAAGTAAAGATGCCACCTACGCATTAGTCAGTTTTGGGGAGCGTCTGTAGCAAGAAAATTAGTAGGTGGAATGATGGAAAATTATTTTCTCTACCCACAGAATATCATCAAAAAAGTGAATGGTCAGAAGTTTGTGTACAAGTTTGTTTCTTATCCGGAGATTTTGAATATTGCTCCACTGATGGTGGGCAGGATTGAGGGAGACCCAGTGATGGCTGGCTTTGCAGAAGTCAGCAGTGCTCCGAAGGACCTGGAAAACGGTGTGAAAGAGAAGCCCCAGACCTGTGCTAAATCATCCAGCCGCAATGACTATATCCATTCAGGCCTGTACTCTTCTTTTACTCTGAACTCCCTGAACTCCTCCGGTGTGAAGCTCTTCAGGTCGGTCAAGATTGAGAATCCAGCTGAGAAACTGGTGGAGAAAAAACCTGCTCAGGATTTGACACCTTCAGTCATAAAGTTTGTGACCATGCCCTCCAAAAGGCCTGCAGTTGCACCCCTTGCCTCCACTCTTCCTATAGAATCAGAAGAAACTCTCCAGACCTTGGAGACTCTAGTTCCACCAAAATTAACTCCCACTGAAGCTCCAGCCCCTTTGCCAAACTTCACCACCACCTTCACCCCAACACCACCTGCATCTTCCATTTCTCCCACTCTGGAGGTTCCTTCCACACCCCCTTCACCACCCTTGAGTTCTAACCCTGACCTGGACATTGACACGGACATAGAGTCGGTGGCTTCTCAGCAGTTGGAGCAGTCTCAGAACCCTCAGCACCTATCACCAGAGCTCAGAGAGCACGATTTGTCTGTGCTAGAGAAGGATCTTGCCAATCACCTCTCCAGAGCTAAAAAACCCAAAGGGCTGGAGCTAGCTCCCACTCTTGTCATTACAGGCAGTGATCCAAGCCCACTGGGGATACTAAGCCCTTCTCTCCCTACTGCTTCTCTTACTCCAGCATTTTTTTCACAGGTAACCTTGTTCCCTTCTCTTGTTTCTATTAACAGCATCGGTTGGGCTTGACAACAGTAAGGGAGGGCAGGTTGAAAAATGAGTAGCCAACGGCAATGGTTGTGTTTTGACTCCTGAAGGGAGGTGTGTCTGCCTCTTTTAAAATAGAAATCTATTCTGGAACATAAATGACCAGTGTTACTGGCATCCTATTTGAAAAGTGCTCAGCAGTTCTTTGACTATGGAGGAAGACAAACTGGGGTACCCAGCTGCCTCTGTTGTTAAATCATTTGTATAGGAGGCACGATTAAAAATACTTTGAAGGTGACTCAGTGTTCTCGCTCCAGGGCCATGTCATGAGGCACTTCAGGCAGACTTAAAAACATTTGTGTGTTAGATGATTTAATAGAGAAATGTGGAAACCTCAGCCTAACTGTTCCTTCACTTTATCCAGTAGGAAGCTACTTTCAACAAAAAGGAGGCTGAGTGGCAGCATAATATGGGTGTTACTCTTCTATGGAAAACCTGGCTTTCACATCTCTTGGGAAAATGTGCAAAATATCCAAAGAGCTCTGAATCTGGTTGTTACATTGTTCTGGTTGGTTTTAATCTCTTTCCTATTAGTAAATTGAAGTTAGGTGCTTTCCCTAAATTCACAGTATTGGAAGCACAAACTGCTGAAGATGTGGGAGAGAGAACCATTGCACTGTTACTTAACCATTCTTGGTAGGACTTGCCAATATACAGTAGTTGTTGGCGATACATGGAAAATCTAGAGAATGTGCCTAAGTAGGACACTAGTTATTTCTGATCTATGGCTGAGGTTTTCTGTGCCACCTCGGGCATTTGGATGTTCAAATTCCCTTTAATTTTAATCTCTTCGGTGGTTTTGGAAATATCAGCTTAAGGATACTGTGCACTGAATCCCAATTAGAGTAGGCAGCCAGGAGCCTGGTCATGTCACCTTTGTGCCTCCACTCGTTTCTCCTGTAAAATTAGGTTAATTCCTGCCTCCTATGGGCGCCTTGATTTTTTTTTTTTGTAAAGAACTACATAGGTGCTAAGAACAACGTTTTCTGACCTAGGTACCTACACTAAGGTGTCTATGTAGGGACTGAAATAATTGGCCTGATTTCTCAGCAGCGTAGAGCACCCGCAAATCCCTTTGGAAGTCAGTGGGAGCTGCAGATGCTCAACACATTTGAAAATCAGGCCTTTTTTTGTTTTGTTTCTTTCATATGGAATTAGATAGCTAACTGCTGGCAGCTAGGGTTTGAGAACTTTGGCCTAAGTGTACAAGTGCTAAGAATGACTAGATGTAATAACCTGTAACATAAATGACTGTGTTTTGTATCTCTCTTAGACTCCCATCTTGCTGACCCCAAGCCCCTTGTTCTCGAGTATTCACTTCTGGAGCACGCTCAGTCCAGTAGCTCCTCTCAGTCCAGCAAGATTGCAAGGTGCTAACACCCTTTTTCAGGTAAGCTCCAACAAGACTAGCCGTGCCTGTCCACTTCTGAGCTCCACTTCTGACTGCCTTCTCAGCGCACGTTGTGGAAATGTGAGGGATAGGGTTGGTCTAAAAATTTTACTGCAAGATTATGCCAAAAATATTTGCCATTTAATCAACAGAAAGGTCATAAATCGCCAATAACTATCAAATTGTAGATTCATTAGTTGAGACTTCACCAGATGTGGCAATTTGTTACTCCATAGCCATAATTGTATGTCAGCATAAGTAACAGTGTTACAATATAAGTAACAATGATATAACACTTTGTTAATTACATCTTTCTCTCGTGAAACACACTAATGCAATCTTCATAGTGTTGGGAGAGGGAGAGTGTTCCTATTGTATAGGCCTGTGACAACCTGGACCACAGTTTTGCTGCATGGACCCTGGATTCTGCACCATTCTATTGCAATGGACTGGAAATTCTGTCAGTTTCATTGTTGTTGTTTTTTAAATGGATATTTTTTTTTTTAAATGAACTACATATGAACACAAATTGGTACTTGTTGCTATTAAATGGAACTGGGTTAAGCACATTTGCTGCTTGATTCTGTGAAAATGAACAGTGACATTTTACTGGCCATCTTTGTGTTATGAACTTAACATCTCCATGGAGATGAAGGGAGTAGCTTACATGAGTGTATCTGCAGAACAGTTGGACTCCCTATTGTCTAAATACCTGCAGATAATATTGAGGCACAGTGTGGAATGCTTGTTCTGCTGTGCTGGTACTTGCATTAAAGAGTCATAGAACTGTGATTGTTTTATTAGTTGGGATAAAGGCTTTGCTCAGTATAGATATAAACTGGCCATCCACAAGTTTAGGATTGAAATTAGACGAAGGTTTCTAACCATCCGAGGAGTGAAGTTCTGGAACAGCCTTCCAAGGGGAGCAGTGGAGGCAAAAAAACCCTAACTGGCTTCAAGACTGATCTTGATAAGATTATGGAGGGTATGGTCTGATGAGACTGCCTATGATGGAGCAGTGAGCACTGTCCGGGGTTCTCTGCTCTGTGTCCTCGTCAGGTTCCTTTTGTTTACCCCTATGACCTCACTCCTGTACCTGTTATATCTTTAGTTGTCCCCCGTAATTAATTGAGATCTAGGACTTTGTGGTTCCTCCCCTTAGGCTGGGGGAAGTCTTTAGCAGTGGGCTCCACCCACCCACTTCCAGGATCCCAACAGAATGGCATGTAGCCGATCTGCGACTGCTAGTAGCAAATATCTCCAGACAGTAGATAGGGAGCGCTCTGAGTTACTACAGAGAATTCTTTTCAAGATGTCTGGCTTCTGGGTCTTGCTCACATGCTCAGGGTCTAACTGATTGCCATGTCTGGGGTCGGGAAGGAATTTTCCCCTGGATCAGATTGGCTGAGACCCTGGGGGGTTTTCGCCGTCCTCTGCAACATGGGACACAGGTCACTTGCACGTTTAAACTACTGTAAAGGGTGGATACGCTGTAACTTGAAGTCTTTAAATCATGATATGAGGACTTCAGTAACATAGCTAGAGCAGCAGTCCTCAAACTTCCTTGCACTGTGACCCCCTTCTGACAACAAAAATTACTATACGACCCCAGGAGGTGGGACCGTAGACCAGGCCCTCCCAAGCCCCGCCACCCTGGGTGGGGGGCCAAAGCTGAAGCCCAAGGGCTTCTGCCCTGGACGGGGGGCATGTAACCTTAGCCCCGGGCGGTGGGGCTTGGGCTTCAGCCCCGGGCGGTGGGGCTTGGGCTTCAGACTTGCTAGGGCCCAGGGCAAACACCGGCCTTAGTGACCCCATTAAAACGGGATCGTGACCCACTTTGGGGTCCCAACCCACAGTTTGAGAACCCCAGAGCTAGAGGTTGTGTGTGTCTTACAGGAGTGGGTGGGCGAGGTTCTGTGGCCTGCGATGTGCAGGAGGTCAGACTAGCTGATCATGATGATCCTTTCTGGCCTTAAAGTCTGAATCTAACTTACAAACTTAATCACTGTGTCTGTTGCAGCTACACTGATAGTAATGCTGGGGTTCAGGGACACCTGGATGCATTGGCAATTAAAGTTTCCATTGCCAGATGATGATCTGTAAAAGCCCTTGGTAGTGGAGGAATCCATATGAGCTTTTTCAAAGCCTTTTGGGCTCTTTGTAGAACTTATTGTGGAGAGATCTTGAGTCATGAGAACAAAGAAACTAAAATAAAAACAACAACTCTAACTCTCTGTTTTGTTTCTTAGTTTCCATCAGTACTGAGCAGCCATGGGCCATTTACTCTGTCTGGACTGGATGGACCCTCCACCCCTGGGCCGTTTTCCCCAGATCTGCAGAAGACATAGCACATGAACTCCTGGAAAGGACAAATTGGGGAACAACGGAAAGAGATGACATTCAATGTAATCCATTTTTAAATGAACAATTTATAATTCCACCCAGATCATGAATGGTCATAATTTTTGCCATTCCCAGTTCAAATGCCTTTTTGCAAAATTCCCTCTTTTGAAGACTAAATTGGGAATGCATATGGAAACGCCTTAATTGGAGTCCAGGCTCCACAATCTTTTCTTTGCCCCCTTGGTTAAGAAGTCTCTTAAAGGGAGTTTCTGGTGGGACGCGGTGACTGAGTTTGTATTGATTGCAGCAAAACAATATCTAAGAAGTCTCTCCTCTCTCACTCCGACACCTCCATTCTTCTGCTTCCTGTGCTGGGCATGAAGAAAATGAATCCTGATTGAAGCTGGCATTCCAAGAAAAGGGTTTGAGTGCAGCTTTGTCTTGGGGCTAATGATAACTTCTCCTGCAACAACAAAACAGCAAATGTCTCATGCTATAAAAACATGTAAACTTTTTGCAGGGAGACATTTTTAAAGAGTACTTATGGTGGTATAGGTGAAAAGCAGACCATGGTTTGGATAATGTTGCACACAGGTAACCCAGCAGTAAAGTTTCACTCTTTGAGAGGGGACTGGTTAGCTCCCAGAGGCAACTTGTAATATTGTGAGCAGGCAGGGCTCTGAGACAAATGGATCATGGCATGAATTATTTGAGGTTCTTGAACTGTTTGAATTCTTTGGTATTTCTTGGTGGTTATATATACACACATCTCTGATGCCTGATATCTGTGTAAGGCCTGTAAATTGGCTGCTAGAAGATTAACAAATCATGCTAACCTAGGACTCTCCCCACCTCCGTCCCTGGTATTGGATATTCAGTGTGAGATTGAGGGTTGGCTGTGTATTTGGCAAATGACACTCTGGGGCTGGTTGCTGCTTGATGTTCTGGTCTGCAGCTCAAGGGGAAAGAACACTCAAATTCTCTGCTTTTCCCAGAAATGAGGAACCAGAAGTGGAGAACCCCCTCTGCCCAGCTCTTGTTGTCTCAAGTTCTACTTTAACCACATTGCTTTTTAAGTGGAGGAAGTGTTGGAATTCATGAAAAGTTGGGTTTGATGTGTGCAGCTAAAATAGGAAGAGAATTGTGCAGTATCAACAGTAAGGTAAAATCATTCATGTTCCAGGTAAACATGCCTAATTTTTGGTGGTGGGTAGATGGGAGTGTGTATTGGGGGGTTAATATGAGTGTTCTTGAAAGCCATTTCAAACTGATGAGTTAAGACCAGCAGCTTGGACAATAACCTCAAGCAGTCTTTTGTGGGAGAGCTGAGATCTGACAGAAGCGCCTAAGACTGGGGGATGTCTCAGGTGTTTGCAGTTGGACTTCTGCCATCCACTGTCTGTCAGGCAACAACTTCCTCTTGCTACCAATGTATATGCAATGAGGATGCACTTGGATAACCTGTCCGCTAGAAAGTGGACTGAGACTGCACTTCTCTCGGTCACCCTTATTTAGGATGACGAGATGTTCCGATTTTATAGGGACAGTCCCGATATTTGGGACTTAGTCTTTTATAGGCGCCTATTACTCCCCACCCCCTGTCCCGATTTTTCACACTTGCTCTCTGGTCACCCTGCCCTTATTAGCTGTTTCAGAAGAGATGCTGAAGATGGGATGAGCATGGAGAGGCAGTACTTTCAGAACAGAGTTGAGTCTTGTTAGTGAGGGAAGCTTGCAGTGTTACTCCTTTCATTGCACCTGTTCTTAAGACAAAGAGAGGACTTTGTTCTCCAGAGCTTTCAATCTGACACTTTTTGCAAGCTCTAAATTCACTTCAAAGCATATGTGTTTGAGAACACCCAAAACTGAATGTAGTAAGATGAAAGTAGCTTGTTATATTCCAGCACTGAAATACATACATCAATATATCCTGTATCTTTTTAATATTTCACCCTTGAGAAATGGATGTTAGAGTTAGTTTTTGGACTGTTCAGCCAGAAAATCTCCTGTCCCAAGTGAATTCAGAGGAAAGGCTATCTAGCTTTTGATGGGAGCAGAAGGGAGTCTGCTGCCCCCCTGCCAGATCAAGTTAAAGGCAAGTTACTGGTTCAGTTTATGAACATCAGTAGCTAATGATTAGGAAGTCCCATGTCTGTGGATCTCAAAATGACAATGTGCAATATTTACTAGTTTTTAAGGTAGTAGTGCAGAAAGAAAGCTGCAGATAGTAATTAAGAGCAGGCATCTGGGATTCTTTGGTTTGCAGGATGGCTTATTGCCGACTTAAAAAAAATATATATATCTATATATATAGTCAGCAGCACTTTGTGATGGTTGTATTAGGCTGACTAGCTTTATGCCCAGTAAGTGTGCAGACTGGAGGGTAGTATTGTAGAATGAGGATGTATATTTTTAAAAAAATGTCATGAGCACTAAAGAATTGCAATTTGATTGCTTCCCTTTCCCCCATGGAGAAAACCCAGGTTTTTTGTATGTAAAGATTGTACGTTTTTGTGTGTGTTGTTTCTCATATTTGTGTGGCATATATCTCTGAGTACATGTAAGCAAGAGAACCAAATGCACATGCATGTTGGCGCAGGCATCAGTTTCGCTTGGTCCAGTTTCATGTTCCCCTCTCAGCAGCTTCGAAGGGATGCACTGCCATAGCTGGTTGACTAGTAACATGCACCATCTGTGATGATATACATTCACCTTCTTATGGATGGGGAGTTGTGTTCTCATTACAGGAGAATACCTTCTGTGGAGGTAGTTAACAAGAGAAGCTAAGTTGCAAATGCAGCTTGTGTGCACATGTCAGTGTCACTCTAACTGCCTACTTCCTGATAGATACCGTTGAGGACTATTATTGCTGCCGCTTAATGACTGTGGAGAAGAAAATTCCCATGTAGGGTTAAATACTGTCAGGAGGTATGTTTGGAAAGCAGTGGTACTGTGAGTTAAAGAAGGGAAGCAGGTTGTGGTGGGTAAGAAGAGGCTTGCTATGAGATTAGTTTACATAGCCTTTTCTCTTTCCCCTTCATAACTTTTCAGGTCACTTTAAAAAAGTGTCATTGTCTTGTGTATATGGTGCTTTGTAGTGAAATACTGTATCCTGTAATTGCGTATTTACCAACAAGTACACAATTGCCAGCTTTTCCGATTGGCACATTCCTGACAGCATTTATTGCTATGTGTCATCCTCAGTTCAGGTTGTGTTTTGCAGAAGCTTAGGAAATAATGAAAGATGGATTCCTTAAATTCAAGAACTCTTGCTTGTGCCCCAAACTTCTCAGGCTTCAACAGCTGTGCACTCTTTGGCTTATGAGCCGGGTTTGCATTCTGAAAGGCCTTGGCATTCAGTGATTTTGCTTGGGAAAAGTTATATCTCTGCTATGGTTTCACAACCTCAAAATTATCTAGCAAATAGATTATTTTTGGTCTTTTTAAATTGAGTTTAACCACAGTGAAGGCCATTTGTATCCAATTCTGTGGTATGTATAATCCTCCTTTGAAAAGTTAATGTGTTGCATAAACCATTACTTAACACGGGAAGAATCTCTCATGCAATCATCTTTCATGCAAACACTTCTGCAGCAAATCAAAATTATATACAAGAACTTGATCGTAACGTCTGTGTAATTCCACTCACCAGGTTAACACACGTGTATAATTCTGATCTATTTATGTAAAGGTTTTCCAATGCTGCTTTCAACAGTCTGCAGTTCTGACCATCTGTTGGATATTTGCAGTGTTCTCCTAGCCATGTTGTTCCCAGGGTATGGGAGGGACAAGGTGGGTGAGGTAATGTCTTTTATTGGACCAACCTCTGTTGGTGAAAGAGTTAGGCTTTTGAGCTCTACGGAGCTCTTCTTCAGGTCTTATCATATCTGTATCATCATATATCTACTTTTTAGTTATCTTTTTGCTACCGTTTTATAGTATTTTTATATGTAATCCTATTTTACTATACAGCTTCAAATTTTTTTCAATTGATGCATATTTGTTTACAAGACACATCTCAATGTTGTATCAAGAGGCTATCTTGGTATGTGTCAAACACAAAATAAACTAATTCAGTAGTTAAGGGACACTGTCAAGGTTGACAGACATTAAAACTTGATGTTTGGGTTTGTGGTATCTATCTGCAAGGATTTTGCTCGGCATCTTTCCTTCTTGTGCAAGAAATATACCTAAATTCTGGTCTCTGAGACCTAGGGTTATGTATCTTTTTATTCTGTCTTAAGAATGGCACCCAGGGCATAATATGTCCATTATAGTAAAGAAAACCCGGGACCCACTGGCAAAGTTGAAAATGCCATCACTGTTGCAATCCTGGTCTTTGGGAAGCTGATTTGGGATACCTGAAAAATAAAAAGGTACAGGGTGACCTGCTTAAATAGGAAGTCTCTTGAGGAACTGATTTTAACTTAATGATAGTGGATACTGGCGAGTGCTGCTTATTCTGGACAGTATTAGCAAAACTTTCACTTCATGTGGAAGCATTTGGCTAGTGCCAGTGGCTTAAGTGGTGGTGGTTATTGCTAAGTGTTGGTCCTTTCAGTACAAACACTGCCAAATGAAGATTTACAGATGGAATACAGTGACAGTTGCTTTTATTCTTTTAATATTCTATGCAGTTTTTGAAGACTATTGTTTTTAAAGATCTTCCCTTAATTGGAACTGTTGGGTCATGGCAGTGAGTTGCCTAGTGAGAGACTTCTACTAGGTAGTAAAATGGCTATGCTATGAGCTAGTCATTCTTGATAGGGCCTCTTTTAAAGGGTGGTGGTTCAGTACAGAGAAAAGTCTTTCAAGATGACACCTTGTTTGTGCATTCTTCTCCCCATAACCTGCTATCAGCAACAAGAACGTAATGCTTTTGGCACTCCAGAGCAATTGTAATTACAGGAAAGAAAGCAGCCTTGCAGTCTGCCTTGTGCATCAACCGGTTTGCTGTTTCAATTTTTTGGCTCGGTCTCTGGTGGTTCATGAAGCAGAAAAAACAGAACTTTATCTTCAGATGACTGATGGAGCTTGAAGTTAGAAAAGCCATGACTTTGGCTTGTGAAATGAACATATTGATATCAGAGAACAGTCAATGCAGATCCTTTCTGGAGGACACAGCTTTGCTGACAGTGACCATGCTTTTAAAAACGTGACACCAGGTAAGAAAACCAAGCAAAACCTGACATTCGTTTGTGAACATGCACACCATTGTACGTCTCCTTCTTTCATGATGTCAGTTTTAACTTAGATGGTTCTACAAAAGCCTGTACGTTAACTAGATTTAATATTAAACTTAATTCCGCCCCCTCTAACCAAAAGAATGCTGTAGAACACAGTAACTGACTTTGAAGTTATTCCAGTCACCTGGGTAAATGCACAATTTTTTGACAGTTGAAGATTTGTTTTTATGCATGTTATTTAATTGACTGGAACAGCTCTAATCTCATGAATATGCATATTTATATATATATATATTTTTGAGGGCCATATGTTCACTTTTTAGACTAGCTTCCAGACTTGTATCGTATAAATAATGCTTAAGATATAGATTAAAAATAAATACTGCACTTGGCAGTTGCCACTTTTTAATGTCTTGCACATTTCAATTATTTTTTAAAATAGAAATAAGTACTAAAATCTATTGTGCCATATTATGGGCTGATTGCTTGCCAAATTTTATTTTTTTAAATCTGTCTTTGACATGATGTACATCTCTCAAAAAGTGTCTTAAATTGGTCCTTGATTAGTTTTTATCCTCATAGACCTTAAATTTGGACACAGGTTTTATTTTTAAAACTTGGAAATAAATAATTGCCTCTCAGTTGAGACCTTGCATTAGAAGGGTCATCGCAAAGCAAATGGCTTAACAGCAGAACTCTGAACCTCCGGAAAGCACAGATCTTTTAACAGAGATGCTGACATGACTTTAAGTGGCATGGCGTTGATGGAGGGGGGGAAAAGTTGGCAGGAGTTCTGTTGTAGCCTCATTCAGTCCTTGAGCAATACTTAAAGGAGCACTATAGTAATAACTGGAAGCTATTATTGTCAACAATTTCACACAAGGCGGCTTTCTGAATGGCCTTTGCATGGTTTCTAAAACTTGTAGTGTGTGTGTGTGGGAGGGAGGGAGAGAAAAAGGATTAAAATACCCAGTTTTGGAAGTAGGTTCCTTGATGTGTTGTGGGATTTTTGTTTTTGGTTGTTAGTTTTGGGGATTTTTTTTTTTTTTTTTGTGGCTAGAAGTCTTAAATCTATAGGCTACTGCTTTATACAGTTGTGTTGACTTTGTTCTGCTATTGTTCAGTTGCACAAAGTTTTCTATATGATGTGCTAGATTCTAATGTTAATTCTTTGTAACCATTGTTGCGGTTATTCTGTATAGTTTTAAAAAAAAAAAAAGTCATATTCAGAAGTTCCCTTTTAAAAACTTGTATTTTTATTGCGGTGTTACCAGATGGCCTTATATACGTCACAGTGTTTGTGATAGGTACAGTTGCGTATTTAATGCTTATCCCTCCTCTTACTTT